TGTTTACCTGGCCCCTTAGGGCTATCCATCTCTAAGGGCCTAAGGTTGCAGGCTGTATCTCAGCCCACAAAGCCATTTTGTTTGGTCGGCAGGAAGTTCTTATTTAAAATGTTGAGTTAGCTGATCTTTTAAAATCAGGAGATTTTAAAGCAATAATCCAGATTTTCTGGCTTACGGTGAAAAATCAGAAGATCTGGCAAGACTTGCCCACATTCCCATATGGCCAACAATTAGCTGCTGAGCAGATCAGCTAAACAGAGCCCCTTCAGGCAGACCTGCATTTTCTAGTTCAGCCCAGGTCCAGCCCCCTCCCTCCTGACCACCCTACCCTGAGGCTGATGACCAGCTGCTGCACATCATCTTCCCTGAGGCCTGCTGCAGGCAGTGCTTAGTATCTGCCTGAGACCCGAGGCAGAGCCACCATCCACTCTAATGCTCCCTCTAGTTAGTGCAGAAACTACAGATGCAATTACCCAGTTTTGGCTCCATACAGATTTTGCCAGGTACAAATAACTTATAAGGAAAAGAACTTAGAACCAAGAGAAATGGGAAATGCCCCATAATAGAAAAATATTTGAAAAGAACTAGGCTAGAGAGAAAAGTGTCCCTCCCTCTGCCTTTCCCTCCCTCTCTGTACCTGTGTGTATAGGAAGGGGTGCATTTGTGAAATCTGTGTTAACGCTGCAGACCATTTCCTAATTTGTACTTTATTAGTGGTCAAATGCTAGTATGAAAAAACCGTGAAAGGAGAGATTCTAGCAGGATGAATTCATTCCGCTGAAATACTTATACTTGATCATAATAAATCTATATTAAGACAATATAAATACAGGATATAGATATTTGGATATTGATTCATGGTCTATTTAGAGGAATACAGATATGATTATTTTTTAAATTGCATATATTTGTGATAGCAGTTGTTCAGCGAGCACTTGGGTATAACACCTTAATAAATATCAGCTACATCTTGACATATTTGTGTCCAGCTGTTACTGTAAGGCTGATCTCTTTAGGAGAAGGGCGCTTCATGTGTATGTACTATTACAAGTGGCATTCCATCACCAACACTGGTGACAAAACAGAATAGGGCTAGAGAAGTCACCAAAACAAGTGCTTTTAAACTACCCTCTCAATTCTAGGGTAAAGTTTCACTCAAATGGTATTATTTTGGTTGCTATTTTCTAAAACCCTGTGTGCTGGCGAGAACACTGTCCTAGAAACCAGAAGATGCAGGTGTCACTGGGGCTCAACTCTCTACGGCCTCTGTCCCCACGTTTCAGATCTGACCCCAGATCTGTCCATGACCTGGACAAGCTGCGAGGTCCCTCTAGACCTCAAAATCCCATTCTCTTTCTTGGCGTTTTTTGTTTTTGGCAAGAATATGAATAGGTATTATAAAATGAATACAAAGAATACAAGAGTAATGAGAACAGTAGCTAAGAGAACGGGCTTTGAAATAACAAGGCTAATTTCAAATTCCACTTCCTCCATTTCTGTGTGATTTTTTTTACAAATCACATAACCTCTGAAGCCCCAGTTACCTCATCTGTGAGGTAGGATGTAAGTCTACCTTCCACTCAGGATTCCTTCGAGGATGGCATGAGAACGCATGTAAAGTTCAGGGCATACATTTGGACAATCAGAAAATGCCTAATTAACAGTTGTTAGTATTAATTTGGGGTAGTCCCCACATTGTCCAATTACTTCTTGATCAGTTAAGTTAAAAAAACAAAACAAAACTAGTTACATCTGATAATAAATTGATTTTAAAAGCTTATTTAGTGGGGTGCATCATGGAGACCATTTTCCAAACAATTTCAATTTTTAAATATCCCTTAGAACTAAGCTTGGAACAATCAGTAAAGAGGATTTTGACTGATGGTATTTCATACACAGTGGGATGGCATGAATGTGTCCTGTCTCCACTGCATGAGATCTGGAGATCCAGTGCTTTCTGGTGATCAACATCCTTCAGAGGGGAGGGTGGTCTTGCGCTTCCTTTCTTCTCCCTCCTTTGTAGAATTTATTGCAGTGTTGGTGATCTGTTGACGCTAAGATTTAGCAATGGAATTTATGGGTTGCTGGGGAAGTGAAGCCTTCCTTGGCAGTGTTCCTAACTATTACCAGCAAGCAGAAGAGGAAAGTAAAAAAGGGTTTTAAGAAATGTTCATAATGGCATCTAACATGGATATCTGTGAGCCTTCACAACAGCAGGTGTCAACAGGAGGATAGGGACATCTTGAAAACCTCAGCAGTAGTAGTTCCACACTTGATTTCATAGACCAGTAGAATCTTACAGGAAGGCTGTCATAAAACTGCCAGGGTTTCGGTGACCAAGACATGTCCTCAAAAAAGCGATCATTGCCATCCTTCACAAGAGGAAACAAAATTAACACCTCAAAGTAGGAAGTACCCAAGATTTTTAAAAAAGACCTTTGAAATTGAATAAACTTAGCATTAAAATCAAAACTCAAAAGCTTGCCACATTGCTTTTACTCTTTTACCCCACAGGCTGGTGCAACTGTCACCATGGAACCTGGAAACAACTGCTCAGGAACAGACTTCAAGTTGGTTCATTATGCCATCCAGTCTGGGGATGCAGCACCTCATGAAAACACCACGGGCCACCCTGTGAACCATCCACTGCCTTGGTCATCACCTTCCAAGGACACAGATGTATCCTTAAAGTTCTTTGTCTTAGTAACTAACTGTGAGCCTGTCAGCCACGAATGTTTCAAAACCTTTTGTCTTCAGTGGGGACCCAGACTTCTGTGTACAAAAGACAGTGAGTGGTTCTGTCTTGGCTCTACACATGGAATCACTTGGGGGGTGGAGGAGAGCTCGTTTCAACACGAAACTCCCCCCGCCCCCACTCCCCGGAGATTTTGATTCGATAGATGGGGCTTGAGTAACTTTAAAAATATTCCCCAGACTGACTCTGATGATAGCCAGGGTTGAGAAAAACTGGTGCCATATTTTTTTGCCTTCATCCTGAACTTGCGTATTATAAAGCTTTAACGTATACTTCTTCATGCATTCCTTCTGGCAACAGATATGAACAGAGGACCTGCCATGCATGAGGCACTAGGAAATCAGTGCAGAACAATACAGATATCTCCCCGCCCTTGCCACACTGACAAGTACTGGACCATGGAGACAAGGAAGTAGGCAACTGAAATACCACATTCAGGTTTGCTGGGATTAGGGGAACAATCAGGTTCTTCTATCCTTATCCTAACGGTTTCATGGGTTTCAATAATATCTCCTTGCAGTCTTCTTTCCAGATACTAAAAATCCCATTATTTTTTATTTTATTTTATTAAATCCCAATATTTTTATCAAAAAACAGACGGGGAAGGCCCTGTCCTCCTGGAGCTTCCATTCTAGCAGGAATGTCTATGTATTTTTTTTTTAATTTTTTTTTCAACGTTTATTTATTTTTGGGACAGAGAGAGACAGAGCATGAACGGGGGAGGAGCAGAGAGAGAGGGAGACACAGAATCGGAAACAGGCTCCAGGCTCTGAGCCATCAGCCCAGAGCCCGATGCGGGGCTCGAACTCACGGACCGCGAGATCGTGACCTGGCTGAAGTCGGACGCTTAACCGACTGCGCCACCCAGGCGCCCCCGAATGTCTATGTTTTTTAGATACCATTACATTGGTCGTTCCAGCTCCAGGGTCTTTCCTAAAGACCGGTGCCCACGCTTTGAACAAAGCACAGTGGAAAATCAAATAAGATTTTCTGTTTCGTTTCCAAAATCTTTTGTATGAAGCTTAGCATTTCCTGCCCTTTTTAACCTGCAAGAGCAAGTTGGGACAACACTGTGAAAGTGTTTTTGAAGTCCTTTCCTGGGTTTTGCCAGCAAAACACCCACCCTATGACAGTTCCATAATTTCTAAGTACCTGACCTCATACTGCCCACAGAGAAACTCACCTGCAAATCTGCTGATGACTCATATATCCTAATACGGTTTCCCTGGAGTAAATCCCCATTGGTTACTTATTTCATAATTCAGAAGAGCTTGCTGTCATCTGTAAACTTAGAAATTCCACTGTGTGCTCCTTCTTCTGGATCAATTATGTAAATAAGGCCTGAGGGACCCACTGTTTACACACCTTCAAGCAGAGGAGAAATCTTTATCCTTAGCCTTTATTTGTGGTCTTTAAGGCAGATGAATTCTAATGCCTGCTCTGTCACCTCCTGGGTAAGCTACAGCTAATCACATCACCTCCCTGGGCCTGGATTTCCTCGATTTTATGGATACAAAATTCAAGTGTTGATACCTTCCATCTACAAAATTCTACCTTTCTACTCAAAATGATACTTCACATCTTTAATTCCAAGGTGGCTTCAAGTTCGGTATAGCCTTTGAAAGTCTGCAAGGACAATACCTAAGGGCTTTCAAATATTTTCCCTCTCAAGAAATCTCATACCTTCACAAAACATCCCTTCTGCTCTCAGGAATATCTCTCACCTCCAGAGGACATGGAGAGGTTTCCCATGTGGACCAGAACAGAAGTGAGAGCGAACAGACCATCTGGACAGACAACACACCAGCAGGGGATCAGGGCATGATGGATATTCATAACAAAGAGGCTGTACTTGTTAGCTACAAGATCTGGAATTTTGTTCTAACACTCTCAAAACTGTTGGATGGCTACCATCCCAACCAAATCATTTGTTTAAATCTAGTTTATTGGATAGATCTAGAACATTTGAAGAACTTGGCACTAAGTTACTTACGCTTTCTGAACTGCCTGCTTCAGAAGACATCTGAGCGTGGTAATTTCCTAATGTCATTTCAGTGAAGACACGTGAAATCTGGTAAGTATGAAATTACACCAATGACAAGCTAAACCCTAATTCTGGGAAAAGGGCTTGTTTCTAAGCCCTAATCCTCTCTCCTGCCCCAAATGTAAACCTGTCACTAATTAAGTATTTTGAGCATACTAGCAAAAAGAAAAGGGAAAAAAGCTTAGCCCGAGTGGGAACCATGTTCATACGTGGTTTTTTCAATACCAGTTATCCTATTTATGTCCGCACAAATTTCAAAAGCAACTCTGATCTGGTAAGCTTCAGATTTGCACAGAACATTAGAAATTCTCTTCCAGATGTCTAAACAGAATTACAAAGACCCTAGAGGATGGAGTACAGATTTCAGAAGCTGGCAACTGACTCAAATAATTTCAAAAGGGCACCTCAGGTGCAAACATCTGCAAAAGCTAAATGCAATGTAGTCTGACCACAAACATAGATTTCTTAGAAGCCCCTGACCTAAGGGCCAATCAACCCCTAGAATTTACCTCCATCACTAAACACCTCAGCTCTCAAATAGGACCAGCAGTGCCAAACTACTGGGTTTCGTGCAGTATTAATACAAGTGACTATAAAGCTTTTGGCAAAGTCATCCTCTACTCCTCTCTCATAGGATTAGAAGGCAGAATCAAGACTTTAAAATCTCAAAAGGCCTGAGATTGGACCAAAATAAATAGGATACCACTGAACAGGGACAAAAACTAAAAACCGTCCACTCAATCTCACCTACACATACAAAAATCTGCCCAGTGAATAGGGTCGCAGCAGCTCAACACCATATCTGGATGTTTTGACAGTTTGACTGGACAGAACCTACAGGTGAATCTGTGCTAGGTGCTGTTTTTTTAAAAAAGGCAGTTTTAGTGATGCCTGGGTGGCTCAGTCGGTTGAGCGTCCAACTATGGCTCATGTCATGATCCCACGGTTCGTGAGTTCAAGCCCCACATCAGGCTCTATGCTGACAGCTCAGAGCCTGGAGCCTGCTTCAGATTCTGTGTCTCCCTCTCTCTCTCCCCCTCCCCCCCTCACACTCTGTCTCTCAAAAATAAATAAACGTTAGGGGCGCCTGGGTGGCGCAGTCGGTTAAGCGTCCGACTTCAGCCGGGTCACGATCTCGCGGTCCGTGAGTTCGAGCCCCGCGTCGGGCTCTGGGCTGATGGCTCAGAGCCTGGAGCCTGTTTCAGATTCTGTGTCTCCCTCTCTCTCTGCCCCTCCCCCGTTCATGCTCTGTCTCTCTCTGTCCCAAAAAAATAAATAAAAAACGTTAAAAAAAAAATTTTTTTTTTAATAAATAAACGTTAAAAAAAAAAAAGGCAGTTTTGTGGGGCACGTGGGTAGCTCAGTCAGTTAAGCATTCCACTCTTGATTTTGGCTCAGGTCATAATCTCACAGCTCATGAGATCAAGATCGAGCCCCGCGTTGGGCTCTGGGCTGACAGCGCAGAGACTGCTTGGGATTCTCTTCCTTACTCTCTCTCTGCTCCTCCTCTGTGTGTGCACTCTCTGTCTCTCTCAAAATAAAATAAAAACTTAAAAAAAAAAGACAGTTGTTTAAATTGCAGTAAGTAGATGTTTATGCCTTGGTCTTAGGAAAAAGCTGTCCTACTATACTCTCTGTTGACCAGGCACACCTCAATTACCTTATTTAATTCCAGATACCATTACTCTCCATGAGAGATGCTGACAAACTAAAAAGACATCTAGAAACCATGTCCCACACAGGATTGTGAGAAGACGTTGACTATTTTGCATTGAGAAATGGGGAGAGAGACATCATACCGTCTTTGTGAATTCAAGGGGCTGTCCTCTGGATATGGGAAGTTCCAGAGGCACAGAATCAATGGAACAGTTTCGAGGAGGCAGCCTTCAGCTCAAATAAAAATCACACATGGAATCCAAAGATATAATGACATGTCTTCCTAACTACAGGGTTCCCTGTACTTTCTAGAGGTTATTTAAAAAAATTTTTTTAATGTTTATTTATTTTTGAGAGAGAGAGCTAGTGTGAGCAGGGGAGGGGGGGAGAGAGAGAGAGAGGGAGAGGGAGAGAGAGAGAGAGAGAGAGAGAGAGAGGGAGGGAGGGAGAGGGAGGGAGACACAGAAGCTGAAGCAGGCTCCAGGCTCTGAGCTATCAGCACAGAGCCTGACAAGGGGCTCCAACTCACAAACCATGAGATCATGACCTGAGCGGAAGTCGGTTGCTTAACCGACTGGCTTTCCTCTAGGGGTGTTTAAACAGAGGCTGTCTAGCAAGTGTAAGAATTTACCAAAGAAGTTAGACCAGGACCTCTCTAAAATTCCAGTTCTGACTCCAAGATTCCCCACCTACCCAGTATTATACTGCCCTGCTAACTGATCTGCCATGATTTCTCAAAAATGCCCTTTTCTTCTGATTAGGCTTTGCCCAGATCCTACTCACTTCAGGCCGAGCAGAGCACAGGTCTCCTAGATTGGCTTCCCAAACTTGACGTCCTTGCTCACCGGTCAAGAACCACCTCCTTCAAGGCCCATTCTGAGATGTAACTTTCCTTCACAGTGACCTTAACGTTTGCTGTCTCAAGCAGGGTTTCTCAACCCTGGCACTACTGACATTTCAGCTGGGATAGTTCTTTGTTGTGGGGGCTGTCCTGAGCATTGCAGGATGGATGTGCAGCAGGATCCCTGGCCTCTTTCCACTAGATGTCAGTAGCACCTGCCTCCCGGCTATGACCAAAAAAAAAAAAAAAAAAAAAAAAAAGTTTCCAGACATTGCCAAATGTTTGCTGGGAGGCAAAGTCACCCCTTGTTGAGAACCACTCTTCTTGACGCAAATGATTAGCATCACTGACCTGTGTTTCACGTTTTCCACTAACTAGATCTCCCCTAACTCCATCAGTCTTGTTCTCTGCTCCAGCCAGGCAAACCTATTTACTATATTTGACTTGGGACAAAGCTCACTGCTTCCCCTAAAACATGCTCCTTCCCCCTTCCCCAAAGCACACAATACTTTTATCTGGCTCCAAACACCCTTTCCATTTCAGTATTCCTTGACCTCCTAAAAAATGCAATCCTTTGCTTCTGGTGGTATCCTCACTTGTATCTGTCTTACCTGCCCTCTATTTGTGCAAGAATCTTCTCCTTCCTTGTTAGGGAACCACAACACCCACTCTGGTTTTCCGCTTGCTGCTGGCACTCAATAAAGTGGTGTTTCTTAGAATGTCAAGTATCAGCTCCAATTATGTATGAAAAGTACGTGAAATCCCTTACCAACTACCATTTCAAGAGCATGTGTGATCATGAGTACACAGTTTGAACAAAACTTTTGACTTCTTCACAGATAGTGCCAATTTACCTGTGTTACTGAGATTGAACCAAGTCTAACTTCCATCATACAGCTACCAAAACAGTTTAGCTACCAGGACATGACAAACACATCAACATTTTGTGAAATTAATTTTAAAAAGCTCATCACAGTATAAAAGCGAAGGGAAAACGGCAAAGTGTTGATCAAGTTTTTGAATTCTGTAAACCTTGGCAAGGAGAAAAAGATATGAATATGGCTCAATACTTTAACTGTTGCATCATACACTACTCAACGTGGTAACAGAAGAGACTGGGGGACTGGGTCACCTAAGGACACTTTCCTCTGCAAACTTCTAACGTGTTGAGTTTTAATCAACAAAGTACACACTCACACACCGTCAATAAAAACGAGACAAACCTAAGATAAAATGTTCAAATATGTAAGTAAACCATGCCAATTCAAGATTTGCATTTTCTTTCAGCTCCGTGGATTACCTAATCATTTTACAGGAGACTCCCTAAATAACCTACGGAGACCAAACACTCCAAATCAACTGTGCTGGATCCTTATTTTAACTCATCTCAGGATCTTTCCTCTCTTGCTTTTGCACTTTAACAGGATTTTAATCAACTGATGTGGAATACAGGAGAAGTGACAACTCTAACCCTTTCCTAGCTGATGGCAGGGGTTTGGCCAGTATTTATGGACAGTAAAATGAAATGCTGTCTACGGACCTCCTTTACTAGCCATGGATTCTTCTCACAGGTCTGTAAAGAGCGGCCGGGGGGGGGGGGGGGGGTCCCAGAAGCTTTGGTGGGGAAGGTCTGAATCACTGTCATTCTTGGCACTTGGAAGTGCCCTTTGGTTGTTTATGAGGCAAACAGCCGTCACCATTACTGCAGACAGTAACTCCTCGCCTGTCCAGACTCTTCCAAAGTCCAGCACAGAACACAAAATAGGTGCTCAATAAGAGCGGCCTGAATGGAATTTTATTTTCAAAGCTCAGGAAAGTTTCCAGAAGCCTGCTCTCTTTTTACTCAGTTATCTTTCAAAATATATCCTCACAGATTTGCCCAACAAGAAATATTTTTGAAATTCAAGGAAGAAAAAGGAGGAAATTTGCAAAGCAGAAGGAGCCATGTATGAGCCCAAGTAGCTCAAGTTGGGCCCCACAATTGGCTAGGACTCCCCAGTACTATTCCCCATCTCTCGGCCTACCTCTTGAGCGCTCGCTCCCTCACACCTTTGCGTTGTTTCTGTCCTGAAGCCTCACCTCCCCAGCTTCTGCCACACAACCCCCAGCTGCGTACCCACTGGGACCGCAAATCCCACCTCTTCCTCTCCAGCAGGGACCTACCTCTCCTCCCTCGACCTGCGGCAGCTCTCCTTCACTGCGGCTGGCTTTTTAAGAAACACAACACAGAAAACAAAACAAAACAAACAAACAAACAAAAAACCCGGCCCTCCAAAAAAACCAAAAGCCTAATTTGTTTATCCCCACGGGAGACCCCAAATGAGGGGGGACATTAGGAGGAAGGCCTCTATCAACCCTCCAGTAAGCAACTTCCCCCAATCCTCCTTCCCAAGCCCCTGGCCAGGATTCGAGCAGAAGTCCAGTTCCCAAGTGCCCACGCCTTCAAACAAGCTAGAAGCGGATTATACCGGTACCCAACCCGGAGATGGCCCGCGGCGGGCAGGGTGCACCTGCGGGCCCCCGGCTCCCTCCCTCCGGCGCGGGGGGCGGAGCGCGGCCCTCATTCCCCGCCCAGCCCACCCGGCGCGGGAAGCAGGCGAGGGGGAGGCGTTTCACGAGAAGTTAAAGGGCTCACCTTCTGGGCTCCCGGCCAGCAAGGCCAGACACCAAACACCCACCTCCGGGAGGAATCAGCGGAGCCGAAACCGGGACTCC